TGTGTAGCTGAATGTATCCGGCCACGCTGAAGCCGGTGACGTGAGGCAGCTCAGCGCCCGACCGACACAATGTGGTCCCGCCGACCCGCGCTGACCTCAGAGTGACCTCTGCTGACCTCCGGGGATCTCTGCTGACCTCAGAGTGACCTCTGCTGACCTCCGGGGACCTCTGCTGACCTCAGAGTGACCTCTGCTGACTTTCGGGGACCTCTGCTGACCTCAGAGTGACCTCTACTGACCTCCGGGGACCTCTGCTGACCTCAGAGTGACCTCTACTGACCTCAGGGGACCTCAATGTGGCGAAGGGTTCTGCTGATAGTGACCTAGGCAGCTGGTAGTGACCTATGGTGACCTCACTTGACCTTTGGTGATTTAGCCTGACGTAATATGTAAACTGCTGGTAGTGTGACCTCGCTTTGACCTCCTGACGGAAGAGTGACCGTCAACTGACAAACGTGACCTCAATCACTCTCAACTTGACCTCTCACAACCCGACTGTACCCCCAAAGGTCATCTCCCTTGCCACATCAAACTAATCCAGAGTGACCTGAAGTGACCTTTGGCCCCTCACACTGATCCTGAGTGACCTAAGGTGACCCTTGACCCCTCACACTGATCCTGAGTGACCTAAGGTGACCCTTGACCCCTCACACTGATCCTGAGTGACCTAAGGTGACCCTTGACCCCTCACACTGATCCTGAGTGACCTAAGGTGACCCTTGACCCCTCACACTGATCCTGAGTGACCTAAGGTGACCCTTGACCCCTCACACTGACCCTGAGTGCCTCGAGGTGCCCCCAGGGTGACCCCTCTCACCCTCACACTGACCCTAGAGCACTGAGAAGTGACCTAAGGTGACCCCAATGACCATGTTGGACCTAAAGAGCTCCACCCCTGACTACCTGCCGCGGACTGGACCATTGTCCAACTTCTCCATGCTCTTCACGGGTAATTATATAGGTCATTATGCCCTTAATTATTATTGGTGTTGTGATGGTTATTAGTGCCTTGTTAGTGGCGGTAGTTAGTGCCTTGTTAGTGGCGATTGTGCCTTGTTAGTGGCGATTGTGCCTTGTTAGTGGCGGTAGTTAGTGCCTTGTAAGCGGCGGTTGTGCCTTGTTAGTGGCGGTAGTTAGTGCCTTGTAAGTGGCGGTTGTGCCTTGTTAGTGGCGGTAGTTAGTGCTTTGTTAGTGGCGGTAGTTAGTGCCTTGTTAGTGGCGGTAGTAGAATAGTTAGTGGTGGTTGTGCCTTCTTAGTGGTGGTAGTAACTAGTACCTTGTTAGTGGTGGTAGTTGTAGAATAGTTAGTGCGTGGTTAGAGGTGGCGGGGTTGTTAGTGTGCTGTGGTGATCGTATAGCAGTTAATGTCTTGTTATTGGGGATTGGGTTGTTAGTGTTGTAGTGCCTTGTTAGCGGCCGTCGGGTTGTTAGTGAGTTGCTGCTTTGTTTGCTTTGTTAGTGGTGATTGGGGTTGTTAGTGAAGTATAAGCTTGTTAGCGGTGATAGTGTAGTTGGATAAATGTATTTTGTTAATGTTATGGGATTGTTAGTTGTTAGCTTCTTAGTGTTTTGTATTAATTAGCTGCTAAGATCTGTGTTGTGGATGTTAGCGACCTGTTAATTGTTAGCGACCTGTTAATTGTTAGCGACCTGTTAATTGTTAGCGACCTGTTAATTGTTAGCGACCTGTCGTTAGCGACCTGTCGTTAGCGACCTGTCGTTAGCGACCTGTCGTTAGCGACCTGTCGTTAGCGACCTGTTAATTGTTAGCGACCTGTTAATTGTTAGCGACCTGTTAATTGTTAGCGACCTGTTAATTGTTAGCGACCTGTTGTTAGCGACCTGTCGTTAGCGACCTGTCGTTAGCGAGCTGTCGATAGCGACCTGTCGTTAGCGAGCTGTCGATAGCGACCTGTCGTTAGCGACCTGTCGTTAGCGACCTGTCGTTAGCGACCTGTCGTTAGCGACCTATCGTTAGCAAGCTGTCGTTAGCGAGCTGTCGTTAGCAAGCTGTCGTTAGCGAGCTGTCGTTAGCGAGCTGTCGTTAGCGAGCTGTCGTTAGCGACCTGTCGTTAGCGAGCTGTCGTTAGCGACCTGTCGTTAGCGACCTGTCGTTAGGAAGCTGTCGTTAGCGACCTGTCGTTAGCGACCTGTCGTTAGCGACCTGTCGTTAGGAAGCTGTCGTTAGCGACCTGTCGTTAGCGAGCTGTCGTTAGCGACCTGTCGTTAGCAAGCTGTCGTTAGCGAGCTGTCGTTAGCGAGCTGTCGTTAGCGAGCTGTCGTTAGCGAGCTGTCGTTAGCAAGCTGTCGTTAGCGAGCTGTCGTTAGCGAGCTGTCGTTAGCGAGCTGTCGTTAGCGAGCTTTGTCAGTGCTGGTTGTTAGCGCTAGTTGTTAGCGCTGGTTGTTAGCGCTAGTTGTTAGCGCTGGTTGTTAGCGCTGGTTGTTAGCGGTGGTTGTTAGCGCTAGTTGTTAGAGACCTTTATTAGCGCAGGTTGTTAGCGCTAGTTGTTAGTGACCAATGTTAGCGCTGGTTGTTAGCGCTGGTTGTTAGCGACCTTTGTTAGCGCTGGTTGTTAGCGCTAGTTGTTAGTGACCAATGTTAGCGCTGGTTGTTAGTGACCAATGTTAGCGCTGGTTGTTAGCGCTAGTTGTTAGAGACCTTTGTTAGAGCTGGTTGTTAGCGCTGGTTGTTAGCGCTAGTTGTTAGTGACCAATGTTAGCGCTGGTTATTAGCGCTGGTTGTTAGCGCTGGTTGTTAGCGCTAGTTGTTAGTGACCAATGTTAGCGCTGGTTGTTAGTGACCAATGTTAGCGCTGGTTGTTAGCGCTGGTTCTTAGCGCTGGTTGTTAGCGCTGTTTGTTAGCGCTGGTTGTTAGCGCTGGTTGTTAGTGCTGGTTGTTAGCGCTGTTTGTTAGCGCTGGTTGTTAGCGCTGGTTGTTAGCGCTGGTTGTTAGCGCTGGTTGTTAGCGCTGTTTGTTAGTGCTGGTTGTTAGCGCTGGTTGTTAGTGCTGGTTATGGGTTTCTTAACAATGCTCTACTCAGCGCAAGCTAACTATCAAACTGCCCCGAAGCAGTTAGTGACCTTTATTATATGTATTAGTAACGATCCTTTGGTATCAATAACCCTAAACTATTGTATAATTATTGCTGGGACTGTGTTACAACTGCCTTGTTAGTTAGTTGGCTTGTTAGCGGTGGGTGATCACCTCGTTGAGTAGTTAGCTCTCACAATGTTGTTGCCTCTTAGTTAATGCTAGTTAATGGAGAACCAGAGTAGTTAAAACTTGTTGTGAGGTTTAGATGTAGTTGTTTTATAGTTATTTACTTGTACAGTGATTGGCGATAATTGGCTCGTTAACGGAATTCATATAATCTGTACAAATACAGTAATTCATATATGTACAAATACAGTAATTCATATATGTACAAATACAGTAATTCATATATGTACAAATACAGTAATTCATATAATCTGTACAAATTCAGTAATTCATATATGTACAAATACAGTAATTCATATAATCTGTACAGATACAGTAATTCATATAATCTGTACAGATACAGTAATTCATATAATCAAAATATATCATAATCAAAAAATATCATTTAGTAAGGAGGGTTGGTGTAGCCATCAGCCGCTGCTGTAGACACTCTCCAAATATTAGTTGTAACGGTTGAGAATATCTTTGGAGTAGGGAGACGGGATCGAACACGCGTCCCGGGCTGATCCAGAGGCGAGACGCTTCGTGTATGTGTAGTATGCTGGTAGTGGTAGTGGTGGTGGTGGTAGTAGTACTGGTAGTGGTATGAATGGTTGTTATTGAGACTTAGCAGATAATAAAAGGTATTGTTGAACAAGGTGATTGAGTTGAGGGGTTGTTTGTGCGTTTGACAGTTGTTAAGAGTAGTTAAGGCCTGGGTCATTGAGGGGGGGGGGGTAGTTAGTGAGCAGCGGTATACTGACGTGCTCACCTAAATGGGCTTGCAGGGTCGAGTTAAGCTCCTGGGCCCCGCCTTCTGAACGTTCAATAGATTAATATAATGACTCATTTCTCGCGCATTTATCATACATTTAGGACGTTTAAGTGACGTAACGTCAACAACTGGTTACGTCTAACGTATTGCTTACAATTCATTGTGTCGGGGGACAGGCAGCCTGAGTGTATTCCTACACGTTAGGCTTATATCGAGCTCCTTCCACCCCCCCCCCCCTCAAGGCCGAATTACCTACCCCCCCCCCCTCCTGGAGGCAACCCCACAACAAGCTGACTAACTCCTGAGTACCTACTTACTGCTAGGTGAACAGGTGCATGAGGTGAAAGGAAATGGGCCCAACCATTTCTGTCCCGCCCGGGATAGATCTTTTAAAATGGAGTATTAATAGATGGGTTATTAATAGATGGAGTATTAATAGATGGGATATTAATAGATGGAGTATTAATACATGGAGTATTAATAGATAGAGTATTAATAGATGGAGTATTAATAGATGGAGTATTAATAGATGGATTATTAATAGACTAATAATTGATAGATTATTAATAGACTATTAATAGATGGCGTATTAATAGACTATTAATAGCTATTTATAAATAGATAAACTTGGCACACAATAGCACTTAGAGATCAATGTTTATCTGTGCTTCGAAAATTATCCTTGACGGCAAATTTTAATAATGACTTTTTAAATTTATTTTGTTATAGAAAACAGACGTAGGAAAGTTTTTGTTGTTGTTTCGTAAATATTCGTACATGAGAGAATTTTCAGACTATTTATAGACATAATATCCTTAACAATTATGTATCCGTGCTTCTGGGGGTTGTGGTAGATAGAGAGTACGATATGACAGGATTTCTGTGGAGTTGGTACGGGCGGCCAGCGGCTTGTCCGCCGGCTAAGAGGTCCGTCCAGCCGCTGGTCGGAGGCGGCCGACTTAACCCCAGGTGTTTGTCGGCCCCCCTCCTCGGTAACCCCGAGGTCAAGCTGGTGCGTGCCCGGGTTGACCCGACCCGGCTATGCGTGTCCCCATAGGAACCGATTTCCTTTTAGTGGGAGCAAGGGTGACGTCGACCCCGGCCGGCTCATGTTGGTCACCTACCCCTTGGCAATTACCCAGCAAATTTTGATGAGGATAGCCTGTAGCGTCTGGCCCCACAACCTTAGACAATTATTCTCATGTAGGTGCTACGATTGGTTGAAACTCAGATCTCTCTCTTGACACATGAACAAATCCCCAAGGGCCGTGACGAGGGTTCGAACCTACGTCCGTTTTGATCCCAGACGCTGCCTTACTTGACTAAGCTACGACATGGTAAAAAGAATTGCAACCGGATGTTCTCTGGACATATGTTTGTACCTTCCTAGTTCACGCTTATATGAAACCCTAAAGTATATTATCTTGGAACTCCTTCAGATGTAGATTCTGAAATAATTTACAGAGCCTTGTGAAAGACATTGTGAACTGTGTGTAACACTTGTGTGAAGCCGCGTGTGAGACACGATACACTGAAGCCCTCCCTCCCCCCCCCCCCGCCCCCGCCCCCCCCCCCCTTGCTCTTCACCCCGTTAAAGACATTGGAGCCTGTTTTCTTCGCCTTTTTCAAACCACTTTTGGCCCCCGAGGGTGACAACGTCGCCCTGGGGGGGGGATGGGGCGTGAATAATGCATACACTTCTCACTGGCTTGTTTGACACCCCCCCCCCCCAAGACCCCAGGGACCTCCTTGTAGGGTTGTGTAGGGGTAGGGGTCCCTACTATGGTAGGGACGCGCTCTGCTATACCGGACCACGACGTGCTCAAAGGTTTGCTGCTTGGTTATCTTGAGATGATTTCGCGTCTTAGCGTCCCCGCGGCCCGGTTCTCGACCAGCCCTCCTTTTTGTTACACATCTCCTCAGGAAGCAGCCCGTAGCAGCTGTCTAAATCCCAGGTACCTATTTACTGCTAGGTGAACAGCGGCA